AAGGCAACAGTTTTTTTTCAGTACACCTATGCTATTTTTTTTTTTTATTTCTAATGGAAAATGCAGTTGTAAGTAGTCAGAACATTAATAATAAACATGATTTAGATCTATTTTGATCAGATTAAAATATATTTAAGTCCGATTTTTGCGTAATTTATGTGCGTACAGTGTCAGGGTAACACATTTCAAAGGATTTTTTTCCTATTTTCTGATTGCCTTGATATCTGCAAAAGAGACTTTTTTTAGAATGTTAATAATAACTCTAACGAAAAATCGCAGTTTCTTGATGATTATATGTAACATTTTTCTAAACTAAATTTAATCTGCGTATATGAAGTTCATGTACATTCTGTTACCGCTATTCGGTGAGGTCAACAGGGAGGAGATTTATACCATTCAACACAACAACTCAACAACAAAATGTGTTCAGTCAAGCGTACTGGAGGTAAAGGATTTTCACAATACCTTTCATACTACCAGAAAATGTAACTTCATTTTTGGAAATCTTATCAGTATTGTTATTATGTATTTATGTACTGCAACACATATTCCATTTATCTAACTCCAAATCATCTCCTTTTACAAACCCTTTTATATTTCCACACAAGTCACTTAATATATGTCACTTAAACATAAATCATATATTGTCAAAGTTTTCCGAAATTAAATATTTGCTATCAAAATCTAACACACAGATGTGCTGTGTTTAAGTGAAACATTTTTGTCAAATTCTGTCCAAAATAAAGAAATAGATATTAAGGGTTATGAGACAAACAAAAAAGACAGAATTGGAAAATCTGGGGTATGTTTTTAATTTATATTTCTAACATGTTAACCACAATTAGACGATATGATTTGGAAAAGGATGATATAGAGTCAATTTGGGTCGAAATTATTTTTGTTCATCAAAAACCTATTTTACTTGGTAACATATATAGACCACCAAATAGTAATGCAGAGTGGATTACAAAATTTGAATCAATATTGACAAATGTTGATATTGAAGATAAGGATATAATTATTTTGGGTGACTTTTATATTGATTTGGCGTCGAGCAAAATTCCAGCTAAATGGTCCCATTTGAAAAACATTTTTAACTGGTCTCAAAAAGTTTCAGTTCCCACTCGAGTCACACAACCAACTTTCACTTTGGTAGACCATATTTATAGTAATGAACCAGATAATATTCATTTTATCTCTGTTCCAAAGTATTCTATCAGTGACCACTATCCAGTACTAGTATGAATAAAATTGAGAATGGAAATGGGGAATGTGTCAAAGAGACAACAACCCGACCATAGAACAGACAACAGCAGAAGGTCACTAACAGGTCTTCAATGCAGCGAGAAATTCCCGCACCCGGAGGCGTCCTTCAGCTGGCCCCTAAACAAATATATATACTAGTTCAGTGATAATGAACGCCATACTAAACTCCAAATTGTACACAAGAAACTAAAATTAAAACTAATACAAGACTAACAAAGGCTAGAGGATCCTGACTTGGGACAGGCGCAAAAATGCGGCGGGGTTAAACATGTTTATGAGATCTCAACCCTCCCCCTATACCTCTAGCCAATGTAGAAAAGTAAACAGTATATATTAGGTGTAAACAAAAAATCTTCTAACCTAGCTGTGCTAGGAGAGCTTGGTAGATTCCCTTTATATTTTTCAGTTGTATTTTCAATGCTGAAATATTGGTTTAGAATAAAAAATATGAAAGATGGTTTACTGTATGATACCTATATGTGTAACAAAAACATGTTTAATAATAATATTGAATGCTGGTATTCATCCATACATTACATTTTTAAAAAGCTGAATATTCATAATTTGGAGGTAAAGCTCAACTTTTTTATCAAGTCAGTTAAGCAAAAACTTTGTAATAGTTTTGTAAAATTTTGGAACACAAAAAGAAGAGATACAAAGAGTAGTAAATTAGATACTTATTTCAAACTTAAAACTTGTTTTTCGAAAGAAATGTATCTATCTTTAAACAATTTTCAATTGAGAAGTGCCATATGTAAAATCAGAATCAGTGCACATGATCTCAAAATAGAAAGAGACAGGTATAAAACTTTATATATAGAAAAAGACCAAAGGCTTTGTAAGAAATGTACTCTAAATCTGGTTGAAGATGAACAACATTTTATTACTAGTTGTCCAGCATACAATAATGATAGGGAGATATTTTTCAAGGAGATAAACTGTATCTGTCCCAATTTTATATATCTTTCAAATGAGGCAAAATTTGTTTGGTTATTTACTAATGAAAATTTGTCTATACTTAAATATTTAGGGAGCTACATTATTACATGTCTAGATGTTAGACGAAATGTTAATTAATGTATGTAATTATAATGATAATTGTAATGATTTTATAGTTCTGATCCTGCCTGGAATTAAATGTATGTGATTTTTTATAGAATGAAGATAATAACATCTGTCTGAACTTTTTAATGTTTCATTTTAATATATAAAAATGTTTTTCTGTTACAAATCATGATGTATTGTTTTATGTGTACATGTTATGCTGCCCATCAAGGGCCCTTGATTGGAATAATAAATATTCTTATTCTTATTCTTATTCTTATGCATTTCTCACAAAAGAGGGGTAAAATAGAAAACGAAAATTCACGAATATATTACGTTCAGGTCTACTAAACATTTTAATAAAAATGATTTTATCAATCACATATCACAGTGTTCATTTGATAGTGTATTAGAAATTGATGATCCCGAAGAAGCATTGTTGTCATTTTTGAATATTTTTACTGAAGTATTAAATCATCATGCTGCACTCATTAAAAAAAGAATAAAACGTTTGTATCAAAATGAGTGGATGAATGATGAAATTCTAGATAGCTTGAGTAAACGTGATTTTTATCATAGGAAAAAAGATATAGATATAAGAAGATGTGGTATGAGTGCCAATGAGACAACTCTCCATCCAAGTCAAAATGTATAAAAGTAAACCATTGTATAGTTATAGACTCTGGTGAAACAAAGTCAAATATCTCATCGAAAACTCTAAACAAAATTAGTATACCAATATCATAGAACATAGAAAGGACAACAGTAGTAAATTATCATACTGTCAGTGGAACCGACAATCATACCAGTATTAAAATCATAAGTGATTGTAACAAAAAGGAAATCATAGATCCAAAAAGCATTGCTGATGTTTTTAATGCTTATTTCACAAATATCACAGATAATCTTAATATAAATCAAAACATCAACAATTGTTGTTTTAACAAACTTGATGATCTCATATCGGGTCATGTACCAGATAACGTGTATTTTTCTATACCACTTATGAGTTATCATTTTGTGTTTTTACAACTAAAAGCAAGTAGATGAATCAAAAGCAACAGGTTTTGATACCATAAGAGCAAAATTTTTAAAGATGTATTCTCATGCTATTTCACTACCACTTTGTCACATTTTTAACTTAAGTATTAAAAAATGTATTTTTCCATCTTCATTTAAACTGGCAAAAGTCATACCAGTTTATAAGAACAAGGTCAAAACAGGATGTTTTTAATTACAGACCAATTGTAATTTTACCACTCATTTCTAAAATCCTTGAGAAACATGTGAAAACACACTTAATAAATTATCTTAATAAATACAACTTATTGAATAGAATGCAGTCAGGCTTTCGCGCAAACTATTCTTGTCAAACTGCGTTAACAGCTTTATTGGATAAATGGCTTAAAACCATTGATGATGGCGATCTTGTTGGGGCAGTGTTTCTAGATCTAGCAAAAGCCTTTGATCTTCTCAATCATGAACTGCTTATTCAAAAATTAAACAAATACACAAATTTGCTTATATTTTGCTACGTTGGTTTACATCATATTTGGCTGACAGATATCAGATGATATCTATTTCAAACTCATTTTCAGACATACAAAAACAAAAAAATGGGTGTACCTCAAGGATCCGTTTTAGGACCTGTGTTGTTTTTAATTTTTATAAATGATCTTCATTTATCTAATCCTAATCATAACGCCGATTTATTTGCTAATGATAGCACCATATCAGTCATTGGACAAAACAAAAGTTGCATCAGTCAAAAACTTAATACAGTTTTACAAGATATTTTTCGCTGGTGTGATGACAATAAAATGGCCGTAAATGTATCTAAAACGAAAACTATATGTATAGGCTCTAAATAGAAGCTTTCTGTTACATCAAATGAAAACATTAATCTTGCAATAAATGGACAACAAATTAAAGAAAGTACTTGTGAAAAGGTTCTAGGTATTTTTGTTGATGCATCTCTAAACAGTCTCCGGGACAAGTTTGCACTTCCGCTGAGTGCAAAAGTTGTCACCTTAATTTTAGGAGTTAAGTCAAAATGAAGTTGATAACTTTGTTGGTATTGGTTCCCTGATATTTGTCCTAAAAAATTTTGGCTCTAGCACCACTGTTGAAAAAGTTATGCCCCTTTTTTCAACAATTTCCTCAGAGGAAAAGTAGTTTTCCTCAAGGGAAATCAAATTTCCCTAAAGGAAAAAGATTTTTCCTTAAGGGAAATTGTATTTTCCTCAAGGGAAAAAGATTTCCCTTAGGGAATTTGCTGCATTAATATTTCCTTTGAGGAAATTCTATTTCCTGTGAGGAAATTTGCGGCTTCAAATTTTCCTTTGAGGAAATTTTATTTCCTGTGAGGAAATTTGAGGCTTCAAATTTTCCTCTGAGGAAATTTGCAGCTTCAAATTTTCCTTGGAGGAAATACTTTTTCCTGTGAGGAAATTTTGTCAACTGCAATTTCCTTTGAGGAAATATTTAACAAACACTTTTCCTTGAGGGAAAATTCAATACCACAAATTTCCTCCAAGGAAAACATTGTTCTCCAAATTTCCTCTAAGAAAATTTCTGTACATCAACTTTCCCTGTAGGAAATGCTTTCCCCTATTTTTACTCATTGTAAATTTCTTCACTATACAAACAGTATGAACATAATGTTTACAAGACTTAATAAATGATACAAATGATATTTAAACTTTAATAAATTTTTGACTCAAAATTATCATGACATACAAAAACAATATAGTGAGTCTGACTGTTTAGGTCAAGGTATTGTACATACTTTATATGACTTTAACTTTGATTTTTAAAATATTTTTTGTAGCAAAGTAATCTGTTTTCTTTGTTATTGTTTCAATTGTATACATTAATAAGCAACCAATTTGAATGTCATACCATTTGTGGAGTTCTTAAGAATGCGTTCATATTTGCAAATTAAATAATAAAATAAACACTTTTCTTGCAAATTTTAATTTTCCTCTGTTTCAGCTGCTGTGTACAGTTATTCAATTCACTACGTAAAAGTTCATAACATAAATTATTCCATTCACTAAACAATATCCTTCAATTCTTAGAGAAAACATTTTTGCAATTTGTTCTTCAAAGATCTTCTTCAGTATATTTGATATGAGGTAACGATGTAAATGAGTGGATAAAGCTGGTGTTCCTTTCAACAACAAAATAGTATTTTTTTCTTCATTTCTCCCTTCTTTCGACGAATATATATAATATGTTGTTGCATTTATACAATTGTGTTTTTCTGCATCTATGATAGAACTCCATTTTGTTTATAGCCATTATCATGTGATTATGATGAAATTTCCTATTTCTTTTTTGCAGGAAAGCACACATTCCATTTCACATTAATCCAATTAGCGCACCATGTAGATAGATATCAACTTTCAGTTTCCTCTTCAGTATTGACCTATTGATCATGAAAACCAAGATGTCTGATCACCTATAAATACACAAAATAAACAAATAAAATGTTATAAATGGAGAGAGAAACAGCAATAAAAAAGCTTATTTTGTCATGTTTATGAACATTTTAAGAATATTTCCTTTCTTACTTGCATGACTTGTGAGTTTTCTTAATTCCGTGCTTTTTGTCTATGGGTTTTTATATTACCCCCGGTAGTTGATTTTGTGCATTTTATCAATCTTTCGAGTTGAGGCAATTGCAACGGTTATTTTTACAGTTTCTTTATATGTTGAGCTGTTAAACCACTGTCCAAGGTTAAGGTAGGGTTGAGTGCTCACAAACCTGATTTTTTTATTACATGTACTAGTTTTTATTGATTTTTAACTAGCTGTCAGTAGCTGTGAGTACTAACAGATCTTTGTGTCTTTTCGATTAAGAAAAAGGTATAAATTTCCTGCTTAGTCCGGACTGTTTATTTTTTTGCAGGAAATCTACCGGTATGTCATTTGTTGTCTGGTGAAGAGTTGTCTTATTGGTAATCATGCCACATCTTCTTACTTTTATATAACCTTGCCATATTCTGATTGTGCCTGTCCCAAGTTCGGAGCCTGTAGTTTATTCTGACACTCAAATTTAGTGATTGTAGTTGTTTCATATCTGTCATATTTATTTTTTTTTAATTTGTTTTGTTATAAACTAGGCAATTAGTTCTGCAGTTAGGATTATTTCAATTTTTCATCTGAGGGCCTTTTATAGCTGACTACTTTGACAATAGGGTATGGACTTTCTCATTATTGAAGGCCGTCACTGGCCTATAATTGCTTTCTTAGAGCCATGATCAATAGTTTTCATATTTAATATGCCACATCTTTTTATTTTTATAATAATCATGATAATCATCTTTCAAGGGCAATAACTTTTATAAAAGTGGCCTTATGCGTCTTATCAAGCATCACTGATGAGTGTTTTGTAGACGAAACGCGCGTCTGGCGTAAATACAAAATTTAATCCTGGTATCTATGATGAGTTTACTTACCATTTAGGTTTTGTTGACTTCTGCAAATTTTAAATTGCCTATCATTTCTGCTGTTTATAATTTCTCTGCATCTTCTATAGTTCTTGTCCTACACATAAAAAGAGTAAAAATTATTATTTAATGACATCTTGCATCAATAATTATTTTGCTGTTTAATGTATATATCAATACGTGTTTAATAAAAAGCTGTACCATGAGTGCTTGATAAGCTTGTTGCCCTTTTAGCTTGGGTTTATGCTTTAAATGAATTTTAATGATCAACTACATTATAGAAAAACTCTGAGCACTGCGCAACTAAGACCCCCCGCCACCCCCACCCCCCCCCCCCCCCCCCCCCCAAACCTACAAAAAACAAAACTACAGGCTCTAAAGAGCCTGTGTCGCTCACCTGACTCTATTTGGGTTTTTGAAATCATATAAAAAAAGATAAAAATCATAACAGATACTTTAATAATGATTGAGGCCATATTTGGTTTAATATTGTCCTACTCCGCTGGCGGCCGTCTTGGATGATGCATCAGAAACAGAGTAACAACACTTGGTCAACACCTCATAAGGAACATTCATGCTATGTTTGGTTTCATTCCATTCAGTGGTTCTCTAAAAGAAGACATTTGTATGTATTTCCTATAGGGTCCTATCTTAAACTAACTCCCCCGCTGCCGGCCATCTTGGATGATAGATCGGCAACAAAGTAACAACTCTTGGTCAGCACCTCATAAGGAATTCAGTGGTTCTCTAGAAGTTCAAAATGTAAAAAGTTAACAACGGCAACGGACGACGACGAGAAAAGCTCACTTGGCCTTTATAGCCAGATGAGCTAAAAAAGGACATGCACACAGAGTGGTATTCATTGAAACAAAACATGAAAATAATTTGGCTCCATTTTAAGGGATATTGCAAGTGTATATACATTTTGTAAGTTTAAGGCCGTGATTTTTGAACAAATACAATTCTAAAACCTTCCAAAGTGTGAAAATGGACAATTTTAAACAATTTTCCAACAACTAAAATTCCATAACTCTGCATCTTATATAAAAATAAATAGGGGATGATACTCCAGCTTGCATATCATATAAAGTTATAAAGGAAGATAACTGAAGAACGGTAAAATTTACACTACTAAAATTATAACTTGATCTGATTTTGTGGTAAAAAGTATTGCGTTAAAGTTTAATAAAATTTGGTTGTAGGCAAACTTAATTTAGAGGACGGAAACGTAAAATTCATCATTTTTTCCATCTGTAAAGGACATAACTCTAGAACAGACTGAGTCAGTAAAAGTGACACCACCAAAATTCAAACTGTTTTTTGTGGTAATAAGCATTGTGTGTAAGTTTCATAACATTTGGTTGAGGCAAACTAAAGTTAAAGATAGAGAGCCGGAAACCATAAATTCAGCAATTTTTCCATTTGTAAAGGGGCATAACTCTAGAACGGTAACACTGACATCACCAAAATTCACACTTGATCTAAGTATTGTGGTAATAAGCTTTTGTAAAAGTTTTATAACATTTGGTTGAGGCAAACTAAATTAGAGAACAAAAACCAATGACTTTGGGACAGACGGACAGACGGTCAAGGGTTGACCCACTATCACATGACTATGGGTCATAAAAATGTAAAGGGAGTTTATGTCAATATATAAAATCAATTCACCAAAGTTTCATAAAAATTGGTGAAAGCATTCTTGAGACTATCCAAAGTCTCAATATACAATAAAAACTTAAATCAGATTTTTTTTTTTAAATTGAAAGGGAAATTATCATGATTATGTTAATTGGCAATATTAATAAATGCATGCAACAATTTCTGAAATTTACAGTATATAGGCTTTTAACCCCACCATATTTTTGCACCTGTCCCAAGTCAGGAGCCTATATGTGGCATTTGTCAGTTTTGTATGATTTTTTATTTTAGTTTCTTTTATATATTTCAGAGTTTTGTATAACGTCCATTATCACTGAACTAGTATACATTTTTATTAAGGAGCCAGCTGAAGCACGCCTCAGGCTGTGGGATTTTCTCGCTGCATTGAAGTCACATTGGTGACCGACTGTTATCTGCTCTTTGGGCAGGTTGTTGTCTCTCTGACACATTCCCCATTTCTATTTTAAATTCAATTATAAATGTTAGGCTTCTTGTCGATTTGTTTTACATTTGTCATTTCGAGGCCTTTTATTATATTTACAGCTTTCTATATGCATAGGTGCTTGAGGACAGGATCCTGATTTTTCATGAATATGTGCCATTCCAATATGAAATAGCTAAATCATGTATATATTAAAAAAAAACTTTAAACTAGGATACTCATTTGGGGAACTAATGATTTGTTGGTTTTTCCCTAGTCCAAATAATTATGACGTCTGGCAAGGCTTTTTTTTCTGGGACGCCTAAATAGCCTTGCAAGACGTCATAATTATTTGGACTAGGTTTTCCCCACCGTCGACATCGTCCTGTGGACGAAACGAGTTTGGCGCATTAACAAAAGATCATGTCTGTAGTGACAAGTTAGTGTGTGTGCTTACCAATATTTGAATTTTATGAGCCTTCTTTTTGAATATTTTTACATTTTTTGGTACAATACTGACGTCGAGTGCTGTTGTTGTTGTGCTGTTTATTTTTTACAAAAGCGATCAAGTAATGCAGGGGAAGGAAACTTACTTAAAAGACCAAAATGAGTCGCAACTAATGGTACATAAATATTTTACTATGCAGTCAGTATCCTGATATACATGTATATACTCTTAGACTCATTTCACAGAAAAATCGTACACGTGAAAATACTCGTTAGTCATGAACATTTTAGATCACTTAAAATTTAGATTTTATAACTTAATTTACGAAAGATGATAATTTGTCAAATAAGCCCTTGTAACCAGGTGCTGCATTTTTTAGCACGTGTCAAAAAACAGTTAAAAGTGCCGGGATCTGACAGAGCTTTCAAGAGCTATTTCTGTTACTGTGAGTTTATTATATATTTATCACAAAAAGCTAATGCTAATTTCTTTTCATTTAATATGGGTCTATATGAAGCCCCACCCTCCTCCAGCTTATCTGATTAATTTACGATCACTCTGAGTAAAGAAAGTAAGTCACAATTGCTTATATAAGGTATTTTAAATTCTGGTTGATAGTTGTCTCATCACCAATCATACTACATCTCCTTATTTTTTTTACAATAAAGCTATATTTAGATGCGGTATAGTGAGTGATGAATGTGTAAACATGCAGCATGCTTGTTAATAATTGTTAAAATACAGCACAAAAGATGCATAATATATCAAACTCGAGTCAACGCCATGTCAAAAACTAAAAAAACAACAACAACAAAAAACGACCAAATGACAAATAGTCTATAAAAACAACTATAGCATACCAAAATATATAATTTGTAAAGACTTGCATGCAACTAGGCCTATACAGTAGCTCTATGTTCTTATAGATCTCATAACAATACGATTAAAAGTCAGATTATGTGTGTGTAAGTTTATTAGAAAATTCAACGAGACACGTCCTAATCAGGTAAAATCCGGATCCAAAATAACAATTTACAAATTCAGATCTACTGCCTGTTGTATATTGCTTACATGATTGTATATTGCCAAACGAATAAATATGTCTGGTACGGGATGGCGGCTTCGAAGCGGAGACAAAAAGACCCAGATAAATGAAAGTGTAGAATTTTTGTTGTGGAGAATTTTTTTTTAAAGAACTAGATTCATATCTCAGAATTTGAATATAGCATCTCGTTTTCTTTAGAAAATTGTTAGCTATTACTGACTATAATAATTACCCCCTTATAAGTATTCGCAAAACATGAAGTTAATGATCAATGAATATGAAAACATTTTACAAAGTATAAATATTGGTAAACGGACAGCAAGTCATAGGACTATTATAGTTCGAATAAATTAGTTTACAATAACTGTTGAAAGGTTATGAGAGAAAAATCTGGATGAATTTATTTTTATTAGAATGATTTATTTTACAGTAAAGGCTTCATATTTTTAATCAGTTATTTGTAAAAGAAAGGTGACATGTTTAACACCATGGAGCCAGTAAATTAACAAACTACTATGATGGATTTTTTTCTTTACAATCATTGATCATTATTAATATTTGAGAATAACTTTTGTTTACAATTCGTTTTCATAAATAATGGTTCAAGAAAAAAACTTTTTGAAAATTAGTCTGTTAGTTTCCAAAGAAAAAAATATCTTAAAAACTGAACTGTGAGTTTTCAATCGTTACGTTTTGTTATACTTTTTTAGTGTTAATCTCAGCAAAGACAAATTTGGTGATAAAAATCGATTTGTTGGTCTTTAAAAAAAAACATACGTCATAATGTAATCTTCATCTGGAGATATTCATTCCCTACTGTAAAATATTGAGTTTTTGGTTGATTAATGTCGGGTGTGTCTGACTACCGAATAATATATGATAGGTACATGTAGGTCTTGTAATTGAGACCGCCCGTGATACGGTCGGAAAATTTCGACTGCCAACGAAAAAGGATGGACAGAAAATTGGCCTTATACCAGGCTACTTATAGTCCACTTGAAGAGTTGTTGCAAGGATTCAGCGTCCCCATTCGGACGTGTCTGAGCACAACCCAATGGACGTTCCACTATCATTACTGCTAAGGATTTATTGCCGGTCAGAAGAAGACCTGTAACGACGCTATTTCTATAGTTACTCTAGTTCGCTAACTAATTCGCTTCTTGTTCCATTGAATATAAAGGAAAGAGTTATCTAATATATATGTATATATATATATATATATACACGTCTAAATTGAAAACAACGTTCAAACCTATGATTGCGTTGGATAAAAACCGCAATTTTTATACGTGTGCATGTAAAACAAATTTCTTGGTAGAGGGGTCTAAATACAGCACAAACAACATTTTACAAAAGACCAAAAAGTGAAAAAGTATATTTTAACAAAACGCATTTGACTAACAGGTCGAACAACTGATGTTCTTAAACCCTGCTGACTGCCATTGGCTATTGCCAAATAAATTGATCACCAGATGTAAAAAATGGATCTTACATATTAATTAAATACCAAACAGAAAACAATAAACTTACGGAAAAGATGGTATACCGCAAACATGAGGTGCAAAAATTTGTACACCATATCCGGATTTCGACATTTAATGTCTCTTCAGTGATGTTAGGGATCGAAACGGTATTTGGAAGGCCATATAATATATATAGGAAAAAAATAAGACTGAAAATGCACCAAATATTTATATTCAATATGAATATTCACATTTTGTCTATTACAACAACAAGTTGTTAAAAAATTGTTGTAATAGACAAAATGTGAATATTCATATTGAATATAAATATTTGGTGCATTTTCAGCCTTATTTTTTTTTCCTATTTTATGCACAGCATGGACAAAATTTAAAACTTTTTAATATATATATATTTTTTTCTTGAACTACTATAAATAAAGTAGTTCATTTTAAAATGTATTCTTTAAAGGTTAAGAAAACAATAAGTTAAAATGGCTGGTACATACATGGCTTCATGGCTAATACCAAAAAGGTATAGCCAATTTCCCGTTTATTTTTTTTTCGTTGTTTGGTTCACATGTTCAAATTTAATAAATTGATGAATTTAATAATTTATTGATATCCTAAATCTTTGTTAATATATTTACTTCGGTAGAAAAGAAAGTGAATCTTCTCATCGGGACTTTAATTAATCTGCATATCTATTATCTATTTTGGGATTGAAAAAAATATCTTTAAAAAATGCGGTTTCGAGCCTATTTCTTCATTTTAATTTGGTTACACGTTCAGCAATAACTGATACAAATATGATATATTACCAATGATAAGGCCATATATTTGAAGCTGATCAAAATTTTGTACATTATAGCTGGGACTATTATACTAAAAAAATAGTTAGTATAATAGTCCCAGATTATAGGTACGTGTATCAGATTGGACATTTTTTTTTATTGTTCTATATAAATAATCTTACTATAAGTTATCTCAGGTCTAAACAAAATGTTACTATGAGTTTTCTAATGAGTTTTGTTTGATAATTTTTTGTTTAATTCAGTTAAAAGTTTGTTTTTTTTTTACACGAGAAGGTCTGCTAAAAAGTTTATGATGATCCCTTTTTTTTCAGCATAACAAACGGATACTCTTTAATGTACACTAGGTGGACTTTCCTCTATTCCGATGAAGGCAGTGCACGTCTTTCATTTAAAAGATTAAATCGTTGTTTTGCAACAGACGGCGGCACATTGGGCATTGACTTACCATTTTATAATTTGTAACAATTATGATTAACCATATATTTATGAGTTATAACAAAATAATTTTTTATACATCTTTATTTAAGATGATCGAGATTTAAGAATGATATGAAAATAATAAAATATATATTACAAAAAAAAAAGTTATCTCAGGTCTAGTAATCTAGTATAAAATATATTCACTGGAAATAAACCCTTTAAAACACAAATCCCCGTTTACTCATTGCGAAGTTTATTTGCTAGTGTTTTTTTAATCTTTTTTTTTAATGATTTTATTATATTATCTTTTTTGTGAAAATTTTGAGTGGTTGAACATGAAATGGACACCGATGCTACAAAGAAAATTTGTTTAATGTCATCTGTTGCAATATATACTAAGTATTACACGTGGACAGGATGTTCCCCAGAAAATTAAGGTATTCAAAATAAGTTATACACACCCCAAGGGTACACGCCACTGTCGTATGGAAAATTACTGGGTCACCAGTAAACTGGTAATCAGCCATGCAACTAATCAGTTGACTGACCATGCCACTACAATTTAAAAAGTTTGTCGTTAGATCAAAATGAAATATTTATTTTAATTTAAAATTGAAGAACTAAAAGGATTTATCATAATTATGAAAGGAAATAATTCAACAAAATCGGATTATTTCCCAAAAGATTATATATTTTTAAATTTTTTTCAGGGGAACATAGAAAACTGTATCAGAGACATATATATATATAGGGTCCCATCAAGGATTTTATAGAAATCCTTGGTCTCATGAAATGGATCTCACACAGACATGCATAATTGAAATTTATACATTGATTGATTCTATGATTTCTTGAGAAATCAGGAGCGAAATATAACAAATATTTAGTTTTGATATTAAATTAAATTTACTTTTCCTCGCTATAATTCATTTGACATAACATTGAGGGATTTAAGGGTTTGTCCGTACAACGTTAGTATTTCACATGACTTATTTTCGCGCTTCGCCTTGAAGCTTATTATTCAGACTGTTTCAGACAAGATGATGAAAATAACATGCAAGGCACTTTTTTTTCGATCATCGTGAAGTGCACTCTCCCCCTCTTGAAGAATTGTATATTTATAAATCCTCGTCCTTTTTAAAATTACCACACTCTTTGTGATTACCGTTATGCTATTATGCTAACAGTAATTAACCCGGGACTTGATTTACATGTAATATCAGGGGCGATTCTAGCCAGGATAAAGGGGGTCTTAATACATAGGCAGACCCAGGGGGGGGGGGGGGCTGGGCCCCCCTTTGGTGGGAAAAATTTGGTTGATTATATAGTGAATCACTGAAGCATGACTGGAGCGGGCCCCCTTAGATCAGTCAGCGCCCCCCCCCCCCCCCTTTACAAAAAGTTCTGGATCCGCCACTGAAATATATGTCTCCATTAAATCAGAGACATATATGTCTCTGATTAAATGCAATGATCGTTCACAAAAAGGGGAATCAAACCCCCGGATCCCATCCCCCTTCG